TTAATAATTTATTTTAAAAATATTAAAATTTAATTGATAAAAATAAACATGATAAATAAAAAATATAATTAGATAAAAAGTATAAAAAAAAAGTAAAAAATATTTCTATCAATTTAAATAACCCCTTAAAACAATATTGATGTTTTAATATATAAAAGTTGATTTAATTTATAAATAAACATGATAAATAAATTAATATTAAAAAGTTAAACCACATTTATTTTAAGACTTGTTTTTCTTCTTCTTTTAAATGTGACGCTTATTATAGGACGAAAAATATTATATTTATAAGTGAGAAAATAATTCAATTTGAATTTTTTTTATAGATGTTATAATTATTGTGAGACAGTTTTTTTCCTTGCATGTGAAGCATTCAACAGTATTAAAATTTAAATGCAACATTCAATGCTATTTAATGGCAACATTCAACGGTGTTTAAAAGCATTATCTTTTCAATAATATTAAATGAAAGCCTTTAAAGACTTTTACTACTTTCGTATGACATTCAATAGCATTTAAAAGCAATATCTAATCGAAATACTCTCATTCAATTACTTAATTCACTGATATTAAAAAAAATAGTTAATTTAATTTATAATTGTAACACGGCACAACACACTAGAAACACCGCACAGAAAAGAATAATTGTATACACATAGAGTCTAGAATATACATATACATGATCCAATTTGAACAGAGTTAAAGTGTACAAAAATTTCAACCAAATGCTACTATCCCAAGTAGCTCAACAACAAAACAGCCACAAAAGAAATCAGCTCCGCCGATCCGCTGAAGACTCACCACTAGTCATCCACCTATCCCTGCTCTGCTTCCATACATAGTATGATCATTGCAGTCCAAACATCATGGAAACAATAAAGGGTAAGCTAGTGTAAATAAAGTCAACATACATATATGCGTAATATAATGATAGAAAACAACTACGGCTATCAACATACCAGCACTTCTTATACCACTCACAGCATACAACATTCTCAGCACCGCATTGCAGCAATATCGGCACTGCTTAGCAGCAATAACAGCACCACAATGGTGGCTATAACGGCACCGCTTAGCGGCAACAACAACACCGACTTAGCGGCTATAACAGCACCACAAATGTGGCTAATAACAGCACCGACTTAGCGGCTATAACATCATACAATTCAGTTCAGCATAGCACAGCACAGGACAACACAGCAATTCAACACACTTATTACTCACAACTTAGCCTAACATTCCATAGTACCACAAGACTATGACTCAACTTTTTAATTCATCGATCACAGCCCAACTCAGCACAACATTACACCTCTAATACAGCTAAACATTATTTTTTCAGCCTTATCACCTAGTCAGCACAACATATTCATCAAGATCGGCCTAGTTCAGCATATAACAACATTGATCATCAATCTCAGCAAAATTCAACAACTAATAGCATGTATAACCATATCTCCTTGCACGCCCGGCGCACTCGAGGTCACTCCCAGCGCGGCTCAACCCGAGAGCACCAGGGGCCAGCGCGCCCAGCGCAAGAATACTCGCGCCCGGCGAGACTCAACCCGAGAGTCCAAGACTCTCATGCCCCTGACACAATTCCAATTGCGCCCAGCGCCTGCCAGGCAGAGACTCTAAGGAGTCTCATGCGCTCAACGTGGCCTAACCCGCGCCCAGCGTGGGGAAGGCAGAGACCTACCAAGGTCTCGCGCTCGGTGCAAATCGCATTGCGCCCAGCGCTCTCTTGGCAGAGACTCCCAAGGAGCCTCCGCGCCCAGCGAGCCCAAACCCGCGCCTAGCGCGGCACCAAAATACTCAAAACATGTCACCCTTGATATCGCGCCCGGCGCAGCTCAAGTCACGCCCGACGTGGGCCAACCAGAGACTCCCATTTGCAAGCTCGCCCGGCGCACACAGCTTTGCGCCCGGCGGGCTTGCCTAAACAGAGTCCCCTGGTGGTCACGCGCCTGGCGCGAAGAACGGCGCCCAGCGCGAACTCAGCAGCAACTCTCCCCAAGTTCGAAAATTTTCCAAATCTTGCAAAACTTAACAGCAAATCCACATGCAATCCAGCCAAAAGTTCCCATTCCCATCAAATATCAATAAAAACAGCTCATTTTCAACATGCAAACAAAAATCATCAAAAACCCCAAAATTTCTTCAAAGTTCCGAAAACTCCAAAAATTCAATTTTAATCGATCTCAGCCAGAAATCATCCATTGGCAAACAGCATAAGAGTATCGAAGACTCATTCCACGTCAAAAACAGCCAAAATAACTAGCTTCCCTTACCTCGGTAGAAGATTCCGAGCTTCGGGATGAAGAAATTGGAGAAGAGGGTTGAAGAAGAACTTGAAAAATCTAAAGGAGGAGAAAAGAAGATTCCGTAACTCAGCTAGGAAACCACAACTACTCCGCACTACCACCTTGAATCAGCAAAATGAAGAGAGTGAAGAATGAGACCCAAGGTACAAGAGTGAGTAAGGAGAAAATGAGAGTTAGAGAGTAAGAGAGTTGGGGAAGAAAGGAAGTCCGTACGGGGGTCTCACAATAATAATAAAGTTATTTTATTTGTATATATATTTTAAAATATTATTCTTATATTACTTCTCTTTTCTAATTAATATTCATATATTTTCTGAAAAATTAGAATGGTTGTTCTATATTATTTTTCTCTCCTAATTAAGACTCATCTTTCTCCTAATTAATTAGAGTGTTTGTTATTTAAAAATTTTATAATTAATGCATTTTATCAAATTAAGAAAACACACTTTAATTGAAATATTTAGTCTAAAAATAATTAATAAATAAGACAATATAATAAAAAGAAGCAATTATTTTAAGTTGGATCTTATAAATAGGAATGAAAGAAAGATAATAACAAGTATGATGCTTTGAAAGCTTTGTAAAAAAATAGTATTCCCTTCATC